TGGGCAACTTGGTGAGACCTTGTCTCTACAATAAATCAAAAATTAGCTGGGCATGGTGGCACATGCCGGTAGTTCCAGCCAATTGGAAGGCTAGGCAGAAGGATCGCCTAAGCCCAGTAGGTTGAGGTTGTGGTGGCTGTGAACATGCCACTGCACTCTAGTCTGGGCGACAAAGTGAGACTCTGACTCAAAAACAAAAAACTGATATAGTAATGAAAATCTTACCTATTCAGCCTGAAATAATTAACTGGTTCTAATGTTATAAGCACTTTTCCTAATGAAGCCTAGGAATCTTTATAATTTATTATTTCCCCAATATGCTCCATGCACAATCTCACTACATAAGACAAAGATTAATTGTCAGATCACAGAACTTCCCTATGTCAAGCAATGCTGTCACAAATGTCACACCTTCTTTTCTAGACTTCTAGTCTTTTAAAATTATTTCTTATTTCATTGAGGTATAATTTATGTAAGGTACATACATTTTAAGTGTATATCTCAATAAATTTTTACATATGCAAACACCCAAGTTACCAACACACAGATCAAGGTGCAGAACATTTCTATTACTCTAAAAGATTTCCTCATGCCCCTTCCTGGTGAATACGTCCCTCCATAACAGGTATTACTATTTTGATATTTTAGTTTTGCCCTTGACCTTAATAAAAAAAAAAAAAAAAAATGAACTCATAGTGTCTGCTCTTTTACATCTGGCTTCTTTTACTCAACAATGTTTTTGAGATCATCCAAATTGCATTTATCATTTTTTTTATTGCTGTGTAGTATTCCTTTGTACAAATGTACCAGTTTACTTTTCTGTTTGTGTTTTTTCAGTGTTTAGCTATTAGGAATAAAACTTCTAGTGAACATATGCAATCACTTCTGTTGTGTCTATGATAAAGAGTAGAATTACCAGGTTACAAGTAAGGCATATGTTTATTTTTGGTAGATAACTGCTGGATTTTCAAAGTGGCTGAGTTAATTTACACTCTCAGCAACAATTATTAAGAGTTATCCACATCTTGGACCAGACATGGTGGCTCATGCCTGTAATCCTACCACTTTTGGTAGCAGAGGTGAGAGGATTGCCTAAGTCCACGAGTTCGAGACCAGCCTGGACAATATGGCGAGACCTCGTCTCTAAATAAATCAAAACGTTAGCTGGGAACAGTGGCACACACTTGTAATTCCAGCTACTTGGAAGGCTAAGGTGGAAGGATCACCTGAGCCCAGCAGGTCGAGGCTGCAGTGGCCAAGATGGCTAAATATTCAAAAGATAGACTCCAGCCTGGGTGACAGAGTGAGAATCTAACTCAAAAAAAAAAAAAAAGTTATCCACATCCTGGCTTGTAGTAGTGGCTCATGTCTGTAATCCCAACACTTTGGAAGACTGAGGCAAGAGGATTGCTTGAGGCCAAGAGTTCAAGATCAGCCTGGAAACCCCATCTCTCAAAAACTAAATAAAAAAGAAAAAAAATTCACATCCTTGATAACTCTTGAAAATGCAGGCTCGCTCTCTCTCTTTTTTTTAAAACTATTTTTGAGAAAAGTTTGTTTTCCATTAATGTGACAATACTAGTAAATGTTTTTCATATTCTTATCCATATTATGTTTTAGTACTTTCTGGACCCACATAACAATCAGAAAAATAGCCAAGGATGCAGCATCTTTTAAAAATTCTTCCACTGAGCCGGGCTCGGTGGCTCAGCCTGTAATCCCGCGCCTTTGGGAGGCTGAGGTGAGTGGACTGCCTGAGCCCGCGGGTTCGAGACCCGCCTGGGCAGCGAGACCTCATCTCTACAATAAATCAAAATATCAGCCGGGCCTGGTAGCGCGTGCCTGTAATTCCGGCTACTCGGAAGGCTGAGGCGGAAGGATCGCCGGAGCCCAGCAGGTTGAGGCTCAGTGGCCGGGAGTGGTCACTGCACTCCAGCCTGGGCGACAGAGTGAGACTCCGACTCAAAAGAAAAAAAAAAAAACAAAAACTTCCACCGAATGCCCCCTATTTTCAAAACAGGCATGTAGAACAGCTTCAAGGCTGCTATGTAAAAGAATGGTCATACATTAGTTCAACATAACCCAGCCTTTGATGCCAGGTGGGATGTGGCAAAAAACTCATGGATTCTTTGGCTCAAACCTAAAATGAATTTTAGAATGGCCAACAAAGTTTTAAAACAGAGTTTATTAGCAAGAAGAAAAGAAGGAAAAAAGATTCATGGCAGAAAGACCTGCAATGGGCACATTTCTCAAAAAGAAAAACTGCCAAATTGTCAGTCTTTTTTTTTTTTTTGAGTTGGAGTGTCACTCTGTCTCCCAGGCTGGAGAGCAGTGGCCCACTCACGGCCGATGGAGCCTTCACCTGCTGGGCTTAGGTGATCCTTCCACCTCAGCCTTCCAAGTAGCTGGAACTACAGATGCACACTACCACGCCCAGCTTATTTTTTTTTAATTGTAGAGATGAGGTCTCACCAAGTAGCCCAGGCTGGTCTTGAACACTCAGGCTCAGGCAATCCTCTAGCCTCGGCCAAAGTGCTGGGATCATAGGCTGAGCTACCACAGCCGGCCAAATTGTCAGTCTTCAATGGCAATCTGTATATCCTCTTTTGCTCCTTTTTAAATTGACCTCTTTTACTCTGCAGAAGTACCTGATATATTCTAAATATGAGTTAAATATATGTATTGTAAATATCTTCTCCCAGTCTGTGAAACGCCTGTTTCATTTGTTGTCTTTTGATGAAAAGAAGTTGCTAATTTTAATGAAAATGAAGTCCAATCTTTCAACTTTTTTAATGGTTAACACTTGTTATAGGCAACTATACTTCTTTGTCAGAAAAGTCTAGAAGTTACTTTTTCTAAAATAATTTTTTTTTTTAAGTAGAGAGAGATTTATTTATTAGGCAGAAGAGGCAATACTCTCACAGAAATAGGGGCAGACTTGAGGGCGAGAGAGGATTACGAGCCAAGAATTTTTTTTTTTAATTACCTCTGCTTACTTCTAAATTATACCTGGGTAGGTAACAGTAACACTAAATACAATAAAAAGCACAAACCATTAAAATAAAGGTTAAAAACCAACCACCACCAAGTAGGAAAGGGATGATGTAGAAGTTGTAATGAAGTTGGGCTCGGTGGCTCAGCCTGTAATTCCGCGCCTTGGGAGGCTAAGGTGAGTGGACTGCCTGAGCCCACGAGTTTGAGACCTGCCTGGGCAACTTGGCGAAACCGCATCTCTACAATAAACCAAAAAAATCAGCCGGGCATGGTAGCGCGCGCCTGTAATTCCAGCTACTTGGAAAGCTGAGGCGGAAGGATCACTGGAGCCCAGCAGGTCGAGGCTGC